TACGCGAGTAGTTCATGTCGAAATTTTATTTTGGGTCAATTTTGATAATTAATGTAACACAGAAGATTATTTCCACTGCAAATGTATGAACAATATGATTAGGTAATACATATAGGGTAGGTGTTACACTATTAGACCTCGATTGTCATGAATTTGATATTGTTTGAACCGGAGGAAACCATTGCACTCTCCTAATTATATGGCCATTGCTGTGTTCTTTATTTTTCAAAACATCACTCTTCTTCTTATCAAGGAGAAGGGGGTCACATGGCCTTTGCTAATATAGAACCCTAGGAACAAAGAAAACACTCTTTTATTATTATTATTATTATTATTATTATTATTATTATCAAATGGGTCGTCCTACTATGACTCTAAACTACAAATTGAACACAAAATGATAATAACATAAATGAAGCAATTGAATTATAACTCAGTGGCGAGGCCACTTAAGGCAAAAACAGGTCATATGCATCACCATGACCCCAAAAACGTAGTAGTAAATTTTTTTTTTATGTGATTGTGGATGAATATAAGATCATCATATTATTGGAGTTGGTCTTAGAAAGAAGAAGCTATTTGATTTTGGTACGATCCAAATACCACATAGGGAATGCATATGCATATGGTCAATCCTTGTTTTATACATTAGTGTCCACTGAGCTCCATTACTAAGAAATCTTTTGGCAAAAATCCCAAAAGTAAATCAGTGCAAATTTGATTCAATGCGGACAATATTGTACTAATGAAATTAATGGGCGAAGTTGAAATAATCTACCAAATAATTTGACTGGTACATCTAATAGTCTCCCTCGTGCGTGTGACAGATTGACTGTAAGCATGGACTAACAATTAAAAATCTGGAGCCACGTATATGACTCTGTAAACAACTTGAAAATTGATCTTGTCTAACTAGCTAGTGCGTTAATGGAGGTTGTTGAGCATATATAAGTATAACTACTCTATTCATGCGGATATAGTTTCAAAATCGTACCATCTTTGGCCAGTGGCGTAGCCAGAATTTTGGGTAAGGGGGTGCCAATTTAAAAAAAATTAAAATGAGTAAATGACTATCAATTTTTTATAGTGACCCACGACGGGTTCTCATATTTTGAAAAGTCTGTAAAATACATTCATTCATCATCCACGACGGGTTCGTTTACTTCTTGAATAAGCATATGTAATTATGAGATTTTTTAATTTAATTTACTTATTATTTGTAAACGTGTAAATTATATATATGCAATAAAACATATTAGTGTATCATGTAAGTAATTGTGGTTTAGTGGAAAATGTCAAAGCTAATAGTAAGGGGGTTCCACGTTCAAATCCTAGCTATAGCATAAACTAATACCCCTATTTTTTGATGTTCTAGCTCCGATCCAAGGGTGTGCCGTGGCACACCCTTCTAAGACACTGTCTCCGCCCCTGTCTTTGGCTCCTTATATAGATTTTCATCCATACCATAGAATATAGGCCAATACTACAGTGCCGCACTAAAAAGTGCGGCACCGGTGACGCCGTTTCTGATTGGGCCACATGGCGCTGACGTGGCCTGACTGGTTTATTTATCCAATTCTGGCCGGCTAGCCCATGAGTACTAACCACTAACCCAAAACTAACGGAAAGACCTTCTCCGTCCAACGTCCATTGTGTCATTAAAAAAAAAAAAACTGATATTAGTTTTATTTTTCGGAAGAATCAAAAACAGGGGAACAACGGGTAACGAGCCAAAGCACCATTCCTCGATCTCCTACGGCGGTCTGGCCAAAATCAGTCCGGCGAATTGTGCGTCGTCAACCCCATCTCCGAGGTCAAGCCTCGATTTTAATCCGTCACTGTTTCCTCCTACTGTCCTACATTGTTGGTAGAACAGAGGCGAAAGAATCAATCGTGTTCGCGGGCCTCTGTCTCCAGCGAACAGCACAAGGTTTCGACTTGAGCCAGGTTGGTCAATCAATCTTTTAGTTCTTCGTTTTCCTTCGAACTCCACCCACTCCGATCTTTTATTTGGTTGCCCCTCTTTTATTTGGTTGCTCATCTCTTCCCAACTTTGTATGAGTGGGGAATTTAAGATGATAAACTTACCTTGATCAGCGGGAAGCGCTTCTGTTCTATATATAATTGAGGTGAGATTGAATTGTCCAACGAAGGTCTGTCGTTTCAATAATCTATTAAACTGATGAGTTTGAAGCTCAGTGACAGTTGCAATGACTGTGAGTTCGGTATCTGTAGTCAGAAGGGATGGTTTACTATTCAATTTTTATATCCGAATGTACTCCTTCAGTTGCACTGACTGAACTCTCCAGACTGATGAGTGGGAAAGCTTCTCTTGATTTTAAAACATAGTGCATCTAGCTATTCCTCGAGTCTTGTTTCCTTCTGTTTATTCAAAATTCTCAAAATCTTAATGTCTTCTTCTTATGACATTCCGGCTCACTGTGAATCTAGACTTATCAGATTCCTAGTGCTCTTACTTTTTTTGTTCTAATTATATGCTGTATGCATCGCTCATACTGTAAAAGAGATGTACAATGCCAGAGAGATAATAGATTGCATGAGACACATCATCAGTTAATAGATATTCAGTAGTCACTTCCTCATGTTTTCATTTGAAATTAAATCTACTTCTATAAAGTGTTTTCGATATGGATGGCATGTGAATCGCGTATCTGTTATGAGAATCATGACATTATATGCTCTTTGGTGCATTATAGAGCAATTTTATACCATCCTAAATGCTTGTTGCCGGGTTCAGTTTTTTCTTTGTGAAAGTTGGTCTCTTTCCAAGTCTGAGAGGACTTGGTATGCAACTTAAAAGGATAGAGCTTCTTTCTGATAGCGTTTTCTCATTTCTCTTAGGGCCCGTTTAATATTGTTGCTTGTTTTTGTTTCCTGTTGTGTTTTAAGAATTTTGGAAAACCAAGAAAAAAAAAACGTGTTTAGTTGGGTTTTTATTTTTTGTTGTGAATCAGAGTTGCACAACAAGGCCCAAATATGAGAAACAACAATTTATAGCTTTGGATCTGATTCTTAAACATGTTGTACACGGGATTCCTACTGGTTGGGCGCTTGATTTCATTAAAATATACCAGTTTTCGAATCCCCACAGAAGCAAATAAATTTCTTTTTTTTTTAACACAGCCCCCCCCCCCCAAAAAAAAAAACTCTACTTCCCCTTTTTCATCTTCTTCTTCTTCTTCTCGACAGAACACAGCCGCCCCTTTTCCTTCTTCTTCTTCTTCTCGACAAAACACAGTCGGCACCCATCTTCTTCTCCCAGCCTCCGCGCGGCGCGACCCCTCTGCCTCCGCCCAGCGTCGCTCCGCCTCCGCCCGCCGCAGCCCGCGTCGTCTCGCCTCCGCCCAGCGCCGCCTTGTCTCCGCCCGTCGCAGCCGCCGCAGCCCGCCGACGTCCTCCCAGCACACACAGTTGTAGCTCAGGTATAGTCTTCCGGTGTATTGGGTTCCCTGTCATTAAGAAGTGTGCTCTAATTTTACTTGCTCTTGTATTGAATGTTCTATGAATTTCGGTTGGACAAATTGTAGATGGTCAGTGACGTTCCATTATATTGTTATGCACCTTTCATTAACAAAGAACGATGGATGATTAGACCAGTAGATGAGCCTGTCTCTCCAACAATTCATGGTGTTTAGGATTGCTATGTTCTTTGGGAATTTGGATTGATTGCTATGTTCTTTGTTTTGTGGTTTACCGTAGTTATGGAGAAAATTGTTGAAAATAGTGATGTTGATTGTGTGGAGATTCAGAAAAATGATAATGGGGAGAGGGATGATAGCAAAATATGGGGTGATAAAGCTGAATCTGTGTTCATTGATCATTAGTTCTTACAGTAGTAACTAAACGCGTTTTTGTTTCTTGTTGTCAGCTTTCATGATTTTTCAGATTTATCAACTAAACAGGTTTGTGTTTTCTGTTTTTTTCCTGTTGTGGTTGTACATCTGTTTACACAACACCACTGCAACCACAACAACAACAAAATGATACTAAACGGGCCCTTAGTTTGTTTTCTTACATGGTTGGTTGAAATCACTGCACGACAATAGAAGTATAATTAGTTCATACTGCTGTTATATTGGTATCTTCCATCCAGTTCTTGGAATTCTCCTTCACACACTTTTGAGATTATGTAGAACCCCACGCGAGTCCAAATCGACTTTCTCGAGTCGGTGACAAAGGCTGTATAATGAAGTTCATCTATATTCTGAATGTTTGTTTCCGGGTGTGTGTTAGAAAGAGCAAATAATGAAGTGATTAGTGTTATAACACAAAGTCAAACCGAAGTAGGTAGGGTGGCCTCTACAAAAGTCTTACATCATTCATTCTCTTTGCACTCTTACTCCTCTTAGCATGACGAACGAGATGAATGAAACAGCGGGCTCGATAATAAATTTATAAGATGTAGCTTAATACATTTTGTTTGATCTATTTTGAAGTTAATTTTAGGTGATAAAAAGTTTAATGGAGAACAAACACCGTCCATCATCATCCTTGAAACAATGATTTGATTCGTTTTGTTGCCGAATTTGGCTAAGTTTCATTTTGCCTCTGAACTGTAATGTCATGGATTCTGCAATGGAGCATTGTTTTGCAATATTTTTCGCTTTCCTTGTGTTAACCGGGCAGCAGGGAATTGGTTGCTGTGTCCCTGTTCTGCTTATGTGCTGTTCTTTCCTCCTTTATCTTCTGTTGGCTAACAACTTCTCAGTTTTGCCTGTATGCTATTCCCCTTTCTGGTTGGTGTTTTTCACATTCTGATTCCAGTACCTGATAATGTTGTTTGGTTTGGTTTTGGTAATTGGTCTTTTTTTAATCTTTATTAGTGAAATTGCAGCAAGTCATTCCTCCAACACTAGGATCCCTATAATTGGGGTTTTAATTTGGCAACTGATTTCTGGTCTTCTTTGCTTGCCGTAGAGGAAGAGGGAGGGAGATACTTTACTTTGTGGGAGACAGGCAGCGGATTGCGCCGTAGCTAGGAAGGAAATATCTCGGTTGGGTTGGTGTCGTTGGTGACTCGGTGGGACATTAAGCATACACAGCCGAGTTGGAGACACCAAGGACCTTTATTCGGAAAGCTTGGAGGTTTCTATCGCCAATTTGATTGATCCAACCACATTCCACGGTAAGCACTTTACTGAACTCCATCTTCGGTAATGAAGTCTCACTGTGTTTGTCATTGTTAATGTTTTGTATGTAAGTTTATGCTGGAAATCCTCACCTGAGTTTAGTGGTAAACAGTTGTTAAATGGGTGAGTGTGTTTTGACTAAATGACGGATATGGTTGTGATTAGTGAAACATGTTCAAAGAACTGAATCTTACTTGCCTAGGGGTTTGAGGCAGTTGATCGATTACGATACATGAGCACCCTTTCTGCTTTGCTTGTCTTAATCTCATATGCTAAATCTGAAGGCAAGATATTTTTCAATCTGATTAATCAATGATTGGACCTTCCTGACCAAAGACGGCTACATTTTCTATCTTGAGTTGCAGGGCAGGATTTGCAGCTCCTTGATAGATTCGATGTTGACTAACAATTATATAAAACATGGGATTTCTAGTGCATGAAGTTAGATGATGCATTTCTATTTTGTTTTCAGTACTGTAATAGAGTTTTCAAAGTTGTGGCTTTCCTTCGTTATACATAGCTTATGGCAATGAACAGAAAATGTCACTTTGCCTAACGAATCCGAATTCGAAACCTGGAATCTTCAGGCTTATGTAGACCATTTAACCAGGATGAACTACCTACCAACGTGATGTTTATGATGATTCATAGATTTTGCTGAAGTCCATTAAACCCTTGAACTGAAGGAGACAAGTGATTCCGCATAAACCTACTAGTTAAGTTGATCCCGATAGTTTGCTGAAGTCCATGAGTTTGAGAGACGAGAGGACAAGTAGAGATGCTAATATGCTTGATGTTAGTGACAAAATCTCATAATTGCTTTCATTACCAAGAATCTTCACGTTTTTTAGTCATGATAACCTTCCATCAAACCCCGTTTGAAAGAAACTAAGGGACGTCTAGATGTGATTTCCACTTCCAAGTAGTATAGAAGAGTAGTAGTGATTGGAGAAGTTGAATGAATCAGGAGCGGTCAGTAGTGTTGTTCCTGGGTAGGTAATGCATGTTAGTTCCCTGAGAGGCAGAAACATGGAGTCATTCTTGCAGTCGGAGTATCTAGGCTTTTTTATCTAATGGTTGTTCAATCATGTTTGAGGATATTTGCTGGTCATCTCCAAAACTCAAATCAATTGTATTGTGCTGCTAGGGATGCAATACTTTTCTATGAAGTAGCCTATCAATTTGTAAGCTTGGTAATGACGGTTCATATGACGTTTTTGTAATCTTTGACAGGTGGTAAGGGTAGTGTTTATCCTTGAAGGTTTGTTTGAAATAGAGAGGCTAGGCGATAAAGTGAACACAGTGCAACCTGAATGGAAGGTGTGCATCTCTACACATTGAGCTATCAGGATTACATTATTGTTATAAAGTGCATTAATAAGTGAATTTGGTATGCAGGATCAGAAGAACTCTCTTTAGCTCATGGAGATGATATTCAGAATGACATACTTACTGAGAATGCTGATACAGCTGCCCAAAGTCAAAGTACTGGTCATTCCCATGAAAATACGGGGATGTCGCTCTTGAACGTTAATGTTCCTGGAAACATAGAGGATTGGGGGTTTCATGATTTGAAGGAGGTAACATTTGATTCTGTTGATGAAGCTGAAAACTTTTACAACAATTACAGCAAGTATATGGGGTTTGGTGTCAGAAAAAGGGACAGAAAGGTTAACAAATATGGGAAATGGACATCACGAAAATCGGTTTGTTGTAAAGAAGGAGTCAGAACTGAAGAAAATGCGAATAGAGAAAATAGGAAGAGGGAAGCAAAGGCGGTGACTAGATTCGGATGTCTTGCTTCGTTCAAGGTGAAATTTGATAAAAAAGATGGGAAGTACAAGGTAGAGGAGTTTGTTTCCGAGCATAATCATGATAGAGTTGGACCTGAACAAGTGCAGTTCTTAAGGTCTCATCGGTCACTGAAGGAGGGTGATAAGGCACAAGTAGAGTCACTGCGAGGGGTGGGTGTGAAACCGAGTCAGATAATGGATTTGAGGGTAAATGAAGTAGGTGGCTATGACAACGTCGGTTTTACTCTCAAGGATTTGTACAATTTCGTGGATGGAGGTAAGAATTTTGAAGTGCATAGTGATGCAGAGTCTGCATTAGCATACTTACGTGCTAAGTATGAAATTGATTCAGAACTCTTCTGCAAGTTCACACTCGATGAGGATAGCAGACTAAAACATTTGTTTTGGGCCGACTCCACCTGCCGGTTTGATTACTCTTGCTTTGGTGATGTGTTAGTTTTTGATTCAACTTATAAGACAAACGCATACAAGATGCCTCTTGTCGTATTTGTTGGGGTGAATCACCATCACGCAACTACAGTGTTTGGGTGTGCTTTGTTACCCAACGAAACTGTAGAGAGCTACAATTGGGTAATTAAAACTTTTCTCTTGTGTATGAAAGGTAAGCACCCAAGTGTTGTGATTACCGATGGGTGTATGTCAATGAAGAGGGCCATTAAGGAGTTGATCCCTGGTGCTGCTCATAGGATTTGTTGCTGGCACTTGAGAAGGAATGCAGAATCGAATGTTAGTCCAAAGGAGTTTCTGAAAGTATTTGACAGATTGTTAAAACGGATTGACTCGGTTGATGAATTTGAGGAGGTATGGAGGAAAGGTATGGAAGAGTTCCAGTTAGGCAGCAATGAATGGTTGTCTGAATTGTATGAGAAGAGACATAAATGGGCTCAAGCATTTTTCTCTGGCACGTTCACTGATGGAATGAAGAGTTCACAACGCGTTGAAGGGATGAACTCTTATTTGAATCGTTTTTTGGATAGGAAATTGAAATTGTATGAGTTATTCGTACAAGTCGATAGAGGTCTATGAAGGTTGAGAAACAAGGAGGCAAAGGAGGATTTTGTGAGTGTTGATACCTTCCCTGTGTGTGATACACATCTTCGGAGTATTGAGGAACATTTTGGTAGAATTTATACTCGCAAAATGTTCTTTAAAGTGCGGAAGAGGATTAAGGAGGAGCCATTGCTATATTGTGTGTCGACTAGGGTGAATGGGGAGAAGCACATTTATGAGGTGAGCAAATATTCGAACATTAATGCTTCTTGGATTGTGGTTTACTACCCAGCAGATAGGAGAATCGAGTGTTCTTGTCAGCTTCTCGAGAGCAAAGGCATTCCATGCAGTCATTGTTTTTTTGTGATGAACACAACGTAAAGTTTAAATATGAAACGTGTACTTAATTCATAGCAACATATATCAAACTTTGTTAAACTAAACCATGATGCAATACTTACCCCTAACTCGATCTTTTGGTTGGGAGCTAAGGACCTTAGATCAACACATATAATATACACGTTGGTACTAGATACCACAACATCACTATAACAAACAAATGTTAGTGTATGTGAAAACAAAGAATTAAACAATGATATTAGAAACAGAGTTAGGTATAGACTTTAACCAGTCATTCATGTCAGCTTCGAACAGATACTTGATCAGCGAAAGGTCTTCAATTGAGGCAGGACGACCCACTTTGAACGGACCAACCAAAAAAACTTTCCTTGTTTTTTCATTTGCATATGGAGATTTTACCCACTTTCTTGGTTTGCGCTCCGCATCAGCACGCAACTCTTGAGCTGATGAGTACACATCATTAAGATTAAATTCTCTACCTCCCTCTTGTATCTGTCAAATAATACTACATCAATTTATAGTGTCCACGAACCCATTATTGCAGTTAAGCTTGGTTCATGTAACATAATTGCATCTCTATTATTAGTAAATCAGTTCAAATTGTTGGCTCCTATAATGGAATCATTTTATATGTTTGTGGCCTTTGACAGGTGGTGAAGTTCTCTATCTATGAAGTTTGCTTCAACACAATAGTTAGACGATCGGTTGGACACAATTGCGCCGCATATGGAAGGTTAGGCAGCCTAACCCGAGCCATAAAGGCGTGATCTCGGTGACAGTATATGGAGAGAAAGCTGAAATCATTGCATCTTTCCCCTTTTGACTGGTTAATTGTTATGTATGAAGATCTTTTTGTTTGTTGGTAGTTTTGATGGTCTGGTTTGGCTTATCATGTACATCTTGCATGCATTCCAAGCTGTGATCATCTGTTTGTGCTGTGCTTAGACGTTATCCAAATGGGAGAACAAGCCTGACTCTACTGTGCAAGGTTGGAAGAAACAGTTCAGCTACAACAAGATAAACAAGGACTTGAAGATGGAGTTCTGGTGGAATGGTAAAGTTGTCCACGAGCCTGAGTTAGACCAGGTTTGTATAGAACCCATCCCTCCCTTTTAACTGAGTTCTGTTTCAGAATCATATCTCAATTAATTGCCAGTCTGGAAAAAGTTTGGACTTTATGCATGTATTGCAGGCCATTCAGTTTTAGGGTGATCAGATTGCAGGTCATTCAGTTGTTCCTTTGGCAAACTCCAAATTGCAACACCACCACTAGCATCCCAGAGAAACAAGATTGATCAAGAGATTCGGGTGTAAGAAGTTGAAATGGGTTTTGGGAGAGAACATCAATGCAGCACCTGAGAAGTCTGAAGTTTATCTTTTTTGCAGGACTTCAAAAGTCGGCAAGAGGCTGAAACTGGAAAAAAGAGTGAAGTTTATCTTTCTGTCAACTATGATTCCTTAATTGTAGATTAGCGTCAATAAGAGAGTTCCATCATTGAAGCCATGTTAATTGGATTTTTGTTTATGCAACTTACATTCTTAACTCACTAGAGTACTTATTGATTCTTATGGACCGGCTCCGCAATCATAGTTTACTTCCATTGTGATGTTACTGCAAGTTGGTTTGAGGATTCATTGTTCCATTTTGGAAGTTCTATTTGAATAATGAATTCATTGCAAAACTGTTGTGCTTGAATTTATATCCATAAAAGGAAAAACAATGAATATATATTTACTATCTATGCAAGTCCACTACTTTGCTTGAGACAGGTTTTTTTTGTTGCCATAGTTTCTTGCTTGGGACAGGTTAGTCTCAATTACAAGAATTCATGACAACAAAAAAACTACTCAAAAGTTAAAGACATCAAACAACATCAGCGGCCTACAAGCACGCTGCCCCTCCCTCAACTGATTGGTCTTCTCTTCTCATTCCGCTCCACAACATTTTGTAGATAGCTGACCTGGGACTTGATAGATGTCAGGAAGGGTAACACTACTGGAGTTTGAAACATTAGAACCTTCAAAGATCCAAACTGATTATAACTCTTGATTGCCTAGCTGAAATGGTCTCGATCACATGCCTTGTGTAAGCCTAGGTACTGGAGTGATTGGTTCATATCTTATCCAGCCAGTTATTCAGCACCAAATCACAATTATAAAAGAAAAACAAGTATTTTTCTTTCCAATTCTTCCCACCAGATTCCCATCGGTAGAAGTACATGAGCCACCATGACATCCAGAAGTCATTAATCAATCAAACAATAGAAGTCGACCTATAGGAAGAAGCAGCTTGTCCAAGAATCTGGCAAAAGTAAGCAAATCGTGGAAGCAAAAGTTGTTTACAGATGCTAATATTATGTGACCAAAGTATCAATGTCACGGCACCTTTGCTCAATAGGTTGGCATTTTTCCATGGTGGTTGGTAACATCTGCACCAAGCTCTGCAAATACAAGAGAAGCAAACAAGCCAGAAGGACCACCACCACTAACCTGAGAGATTTTCAGCTTCCTTTGCTGATCTCCATGGAAACAACCACTTTCTTTCATTGGAG